GTCCTCCGCGCAGAGGCTGCCGATCCGGTGAACGGACGGGGTTAACTCCTTCGCGAGGTGTCTTCGGCGGCTCCGTGCGGCCGTGCCCGCCTGCCCGGTGCGCTGCCTTCGGCGCGCACCGCGTGGAAAACTTCGTTGCAGTTTCCTGAGTGGGCAGAGGGGGGCACCGTGCTTGATTGCTTGTCTTAGTGCTTCCAAAACGAGTATCGGGCTGACGGGCAGGAGATGAGGCGCTGTCCCGGGGCTGCGAGTGGGCAGTTTCACCGACGGTTACCGTAGCCCCTTTTTCTCCGTGAGTAAATACACTTACACGGAAGTGTTGCCAGAATACACCAGCCCGAGGTGGAACGTGAAATGTCGTGGAAGAGACGCCGTTTTAGCTTTCTCGTTGCTTCATGCTCGAGGAATTTAACAGCTTCTCATTTCTGGAGTTATCATCGCCTTGTAACATCCCTATGTAAGCTTGGTAACAACAACAGAACGGTAGCAATTCAGGGCAGCTTTTTTTTTTTTAACAAATAGGTATTGGTGAGCAGTTTGTTTCATATGCAAATATGACATTATTTCGTATGCAAGTTATTATTTACGAACAACGTCATACCAGTTGAGGACTAAATCTGGTGCTTTTCATGATTTCACTGAACTTTATGAAATTACTTGTGTTTAGCTGAGCATGGGCTACGACTTTGGAAGCATAAAATAGTTTTACCGTAGTTCTCCCGGTATCGAAGCATTCTTTCAGATTTCTTTCTGTCGTTGCTTGCAGACTGGAGCTAGCAAAGGCTACGGATTTATAGAGTTTGAGTCCGATGACGTGGCTAAGATTGTTGCAGACACCATGAACAACTACCTGTTTTCTGAAAGACTGCTCAAGTGTAAGTATGAGCTGAAGGGTACGTCCTCGTCCTGCTCTCGGTCTGCGTTACACTGTGATACCGGCCTGCTTTGACAAACAGGAAGTTGAACCATTAATACGGCCTAGTGCAAAGGAAATTCTTTTTTTTTTGGACTGTTTGGAGAATCTTAGGGGGTTTTATGAAGTTTTGTCCCAAAAGGATTTTCCGTGGGGCTGAGCTTCTCTTCCTTTTCTTCATGTGTAAAGGACATCCTCAGCAGCCTCTTGGTCACTACTACTGCTTTTACCTCCAGGCTGATGATGCTCGTCGTGTAATCGCGTAACACGAAATCTCAGGGAGCGGTGGGGTTTGCTGTGGAGACGGTTTCTTTAATGTGGAAATTCTTTGTCATCTGTAACTCTTGCAGCTGCTGCAGCTGCTATCTCTGTAGTTAGATGTAAGGGGTTTTTTTGATTAAAAGATTAATGAAATTAGCAAGTTTCTCAGACATGGTGATAGCAACACTTGCTTTGTAAAGGGTTATGAGCTATATATGCATCAACTTGGGAAAAACAAGTTTCTCTGACTGTTTTCTGGGTGAAGCTGGAAAAGCGGTCTTTTCTTCCATTATCCATTATCATTTCTCTTACTAATGAGTATTTCGTTACTTTCCGTTTTCTCTGTTCATAAAATGCTGTACGATTGCGCTGCCGTAGCAGTGGATAATGTTGTTATAACGGGAACTGGATAGCGTTATGTGAGCACGGTTGGTGAGAAGGGTAGCTCTGCTATAACTTGGTGTCATATGTTTACGATACAGGTCAGTTCATATCTCCTGAAAGGGTCCATGAAAACCTCTTCAAAAACTGTAACAAAATATTTCTGAAGCCTTCTCAGCCAGCGGTCAGGCGGTACAATAAGATACGTTCGCTCGTTCAGAAGGCAAAGATGACAAAGCGACTGCTACGAAAGGAGAAACTTCTACGGAAGAGGCTGGCTGAAAAGGGGCTCGATTATGACTTCCCAGGATTTGTAAGTTTGGCATCGTTTCGACGAGTGTTTTATGCAAAACATGTCTAAAGTTGTGCTAAATACAAGAAAATCATGTGTTTTGTGTGGAACTGGTAAAAGAGCTGGAGCACCAGGGAGACTTAACTTGCATTAAGAACTGTATAGAAGCTCCTGGAAATTAGTGTCGTTAATTAGTTACCAGGTTGTACTATATATACCGGTGGGTGTGTGTATATATATATTATATATATAAGTATACCTCTCTACCTTCAGAGAAGAAAATAAGTAACAGCGAAGTGAAGACGTTCCTTGTCTCTGTTACTATAAACAGTTGGATATCCTGTGGTTTTCGTGTTTGTCCGTAGATCACAGAAGAGCGCCAGGGCTTGTCCCAAGCCCTGTGGGGGGCGTTGGCAGAGTAGGTAAGGTCCCAAGACTAGAGCTTCCATCCCTAGACCTTCCCTAAGCTGACCGAGCGTATTGCTCATTTGCAGAGTGCTTGGGTGAAGTGCTTGAATTTTAAGCAATACTGTTTAACGTGGTATTTTTTTAAAATGCACAGTAGCAGCTTTTCTTGCGTTGCTTTGGGTGGTTTTGTTCAAACCGGATTGCCTCTGTGGCACTGTAAGTCATTTTATTAATTCAAACCTAATTGCTGTAGCAAAGATTTTGTAGTTATGAAGCAAAGAAACCTATAGACCGTTAAGTGACTGTTTGCATCTTCACACAAGGAAGTCTGTAGTGATCCACCTGACCTGTCTTGCTTCCTAGGCTGCACAGGAGCTTTCCATAAAGAGAAAAAAAGTTAAAATATCCAAGAAGTCAAAACTGAACATTTCTTTGAGCAGCCAGGTAAGACCAAACAGTCCTGGTGGTACCCAGCACCACGCTCCGCCATTCGCACTGGGGCAGTTGTTTCAGGTCTGCAACTGGTTTCTTCGTATTAATTTCGACACCTGGAAACCTGGATAGTATTTGCTTGAGAGATTTTTGTGCCGGAAGTAGCTCCTTTGAGATGGATTAACACTCTTGAACCGGGGAGGGTGGTTGGATCCTCTCCGTTCTTTCTCCTGTGGGAGTATTGAGCAGCAAAGGCTTCTGCTCAGCATGTTGTAACTAGCAGTGCTTGTCCCGAGGTGCGTCCAGGCAGCGGCGTGTCTGCTGTCAGCCTCTGCTCTTCAGCGCTAACTTGAGGCAGGAGAAACGCAGGGTGCTGGGGACAGTCAGCTGTACACCAGCTACATCCGTGCTTTACACTGGTACGAAGTGATCTCCTTGCTGGCATCCTGCTCTTGGTCTGCGTAACACTGTAATACCGGCCTGTTTTGACAAATAGGAAGTTGAACCATTAACACGGCCTAGTGCTGTCTGCGTCCCCATTTACACACTGTGCGCTCCCTCCTCCCTCGTGCTCTCCAGGCATGGTATTCCAGTATTTTGAAAACTAATGCCAGCTAAAACCAGCAGTAGGGTGAAAGGAAAGCTCAGGCCATCGGGACTGAGATTTGGGGCTCTGACAGTCTGAAAAGTCTGTCGGGTATTAACATTTCTGTTCTGTTTCATCACTGTTGTGAGTTGGATTTTGTTTATTTTTTTAATGTTGCTGGATTTACTTGTGATACTTGGGACAGGGCTGGTTGTGAGGAAGACAGGATAGCTCACGCATTCAGTCAACTGAGTTCTGAGAACTTACTGAGGTAATGAAGCTGGGATGTTTCAGCTCTCCTGTGGGCTTGAAAGTGGCATTTTTGTATGCCAGTCTCAAATACACTTTCCCCCCTTCCCCATTTCTTTTCCTCTTGGTTTTCTTAGTGCTTTGAGTCAGGAAGTACAAAGTTTAGAAGGCAAATGTGTATGATGACATGTTAGAAAATGTGAATTAATTTACATTTGCCTTTCACATATACTTTTTTGAAGATGACACTTTTGTCTGAAGAAATACTGTCTACAAAAATAGCTAGTTATAAAAAGAAAACAATTTTGCCTAACGTGGAAGCGCTGAAGGAGAGCTGGACTGAGGTGCCTTGTGGTACCACAGAGGCAGTGACAAACTTTCTCTGGCAGATGCTTTGCAATGAATCGTGTTTTTCTGATCTTTTCAGGATCCTACTCCAGTCTGTACTCCAGCAGTGCTCGAGCGCCGGAAAGCTGCTCAGGTGGATGATGACACAGAGGACAATGAAATAACTCTCAGACTGCCCCCTGCCAGTGTTAAGAATGCTGTGCAGAGACCGAAGAAGCAGCCAAGAAAAAGACCAAACCTAAAGAAACAGAAATAGACTTAAAATTTTGATGGCTGTAGCCATGTTTTTCCTCAACTCAGAAACTGGCGAGGTGGAGCTTCTAGTGGTTCTGCTGCCCTGGCTCGGTTTGTCTTGACTAGTCTGTTTCAGTCTTTCCTAGGCAAGGAATCTATCCACAAATCCTCCCCCTCCTGTTTTAGCCATCAGGGGACCTACAGTCTTCTCTGCCTTTGCAGATAAATTCTTGACTTTGTGCTCACAAGTGCCGTGCTGTGACACGCCTACAGTCGTGCCAGAACCTTCAGTTAATTCTGTAACTTGTCTCTAGCGCTCACTGTTTTGAAAGAAAATATGAGGCTGTCCATTCAGAACTTGCTGATGTGGGCTGTATCTTACATTTATAATTAATGACGGGTTATTAAAAAAAAAAACAACCATTTTTCAACTGTGTTGGCTCCTGGTAATGGTTCTTCCATTTAACTGAATGTCTGTGTTTCATGCGAGTTCTCACATAGTTACACAAATAGAGGGTGAGGGATTTTTTCCCTCAATTCAATACCTTGAATTTCATCTCCTGTTTGTGATCAGTCAAGATCTGCCTGTACTGTCCGGGGCAGAGGCAGAATACCATGCTGCCTGAGCAAGCCAGTGCCTTTCAACCCTGCTTTCAGCAGTGCCTGGGAAACGGCCTTTGCCAGGATGTGGAGTGGTTGCGGAGGACTTGGAAAGGGCTGGGATTACGAAGGTAGTAAGAGACAGAGGAAGATGGCTGAAGTCACTCGCATTCATGATTCCCATTCCTTTCCCTGTGCAGGCAAAAGATTTGTGTTTGAGAGTGTACCCTACTGTGGAGGACGTAGGGTGACTGTTCTGTTGGCTGGTGGCTTAGCCAGAGTCACAGCTACGCGTTCATTCCTCAGGCAGTTGTGTAAAAGGTATTTCACGCTGCAGAGGTCCCAGGCGTGCACATACTGGTGTACTGCTTTACCTCTGGGCTGACCAAGCAAAGGTAACTTGCTAATTCTCTGGGGTTTTGTGTGCTATAAACGTGCTGTTGCCTGGTTGGGAAAATGTTCCAAGGACCTGCAAAGTGTGGCTGCTTTTAGAGGGACTTCTTGCTGAACTGTGGAGAGAAGCAAATGGTGACAACTAGCTTATGTACAGCTGTTCTCAGAGTGAGCAAGGCTCTTTGAGACAATGCATCAGTAAGCAGGAGCAGTCTGGGTTGTATTAGGAGTTCTGTTGTCCTCTGGGCCCTGCAGCATCTTGTCACTGTATTTTAGTTTCACTGCCTGCGTGAAAAAAGAGTATCTTCTGCTTCAGGGGATGATAAACACCGCGATATTGTAATAAGTCTCTGGGTGGGTGAACCAGGAATGGGAGGGCAGGGTTTTGTCACCAGTAGTACGAGTTCAGAGAATTGAGTGTAGCTTTTTGTTGTGCATCAAGATTTATTCTTGTTCCAACATAACCTGTCATAGGTGACTGCAGATATCCAGTCCTGTTTGAAGGTGCAGTTTGACTATGCAATTAGAATTTGGATTTTACTGCAAATCTGGGACCTGCAGAAATTCCAGTTTGGGTTTTGTGGCACATACTTAGCCTTGATCTTTTATTGTCTGAGATGAAACACTCTCTACTGCTGTTGGCTGTAGGTCAGGCTTGGCAGAAGATTTCGAGGAAAGCCCAGGTGATAATAACCGGCTGCTCAGGTAGGTGGCTGACACTAATTCCTTGGCTATTTCAAGACTCAGACTCCTGGCGAAGGAGAAGAAATCTGAACCATTGGCCTGGCTAGTTCTGTCCTATCTGGCCTGATCACTTGAATAATCATGTGATTGTAATGACATTCTCTCGGTGACTCAAATTAGATCATTCTCCTTTGTCGCTCTAAACTGTCGGGGAAGCTACTTGGATGAGTGCGTCTCTATATCAAATGCTTGTTGTCTTAGGCATGCTAGGGAAGTCTGTTGACCAGCCCGATGGCCACTGACAGTCCTTGCCTTTTAGTAGCAAGCAGTAGTTGCTGTGTACATCTGCAGGCTTTCTTCTCTGTGCATTGTTTGATGTGAAACAGACAATGTTTACACCTCAAACCCATGGAAAATACATCCTCAGCTAAGGTTTGAGATAAAAGTGATCAGAGTGGTTGGCAGAAATTGCTTATCACTTAGTACCTGACATGCAGCTCTGAAAAAACTTTTCTACCTCCACTTCGTACAGCAGAGAGCAGCAGAAGAGAAGTGAAATGCATCTGCCCGGAATGGACGGTTTTCTTTTAAAATCCGTATTCCTGACTTTGTGTTGTGCAAATAAAGATGGCTGTTGAGTCAAGATGAACTAGAAATGTGGCTGCACTTTCTCCTCTCCCGAGCTGGGTCTCTTGGGTGCAGTCTGACACGGGGGGGCGGTGGGCTTCAGTTCTGTGGACACACGCCACCCTCTGGCAAACGAAGCATGAGGTTTCCTGGGAAGTGACCTCCCGGATTTGTAAAGAAACCTGTCTAGTCCAGGCAGTCTGGAGTGACTGGCTGCATTGGTGTGACTAACGCATCTCTAATGTGATGTAAGAATACAGGAGAAACCTCGTATGGATCTTAACCAAATACGCCCATTTCCTTGGTGCTGCTACAAATACTCCTTCCAAGGCTGTTGAGTTAAAGCTGCTCATAAGAAAACTTAGTTTATCTAGAGTAACTTATCCAGTGCAGTTCCGTCTTCACCAAAGCTTGAGCAGCTCCCTTCCTGTGCTTCCCATTCCAACCCCTTGGCCTGCATTTTGAACCTGGAATTGCTTTCTTCCTACTTCGCTTCTGTTACCATGCTCCTCTCTGTGCCTGGTGTCCTGCCCCTGCCTGGAAGCCTGTGTCTGCTTGCTGCTTTCTTCTGTGTTTGACTCTCTGGCTTCCTTTCATGCTGCTTGCCATGCCTGGGCTATCCTGTCTAGCTGCATGAGCTTCCAGGGACTTACGCTTCTGCAGATCTCTTGAAAAGGTTTGTGCCTTTAAGCTAGCACCCCGGTTGCTGCTCGCTTTCCATATTTGCATGGCAGTGCGAGCCTTGATGGGAAGACGTTCAAGAAAGCTGTGCTTACAATAAGGTTTGCTTCCTGCTGTAATTTTCCTTTCCCTTCCTTTTGTTTATTGGTCTTCCTTCAATTGAGATCAGCTTAGATGGCAAATCTGAAAAGCAAGGAAACAAAATCCTGTGCTGTTTGAGTAAAGCACAACAATACCCAGGCTACAGCAAGGAACCCTCAGCAGAAAGGTAGCTTTTCTTGGTGATAGTTTCTGTTTTTAGGCTGCCTGTGTTATTAATATACTGCTGTCCTGGGAGATGTACATAAGCAGAAATTCGGACACCTGATACTTGCCAAACATAGTTTCCGTAGCAAGTGGACAGATGTGCTGTGTCATGAGTTATGCCTCAGTCCTTGCACTGATTTTTATTTCTCAGCTCTCCAGTCGTTTGTTCATTCATCTTGGAGAAACACAAACCTCCTGGCCACTGATTTTAGGGCAGGCTGTGAGTTGTTTTCACTGGGATGCTAGGAGTGTTGGGGCTTTGGTTTCAAGGCATAACTTGGAAGCTCTCTGCCCTTCTGTAATGAACGACTTTGTGAAGCTGGTTTACTGAACATGTATGTATGTAGTACCGTTTTCAAGCTTCAGACACACTTAGGTGCTAGCAAAGTCTGCTAATTTACACTCGTTTATTCTAATTTCTCTGTTTTGCAGGAAGGGGAGCTGGGCTTAGGAGTGCACAGCATTTCCCAGCACATGAAGCACTGGAAGTAAAAAAGGAATGGGGCGGAGGAGGGGAGAAAAGCAGAATTGGCTGCAAAATAGAGGGGAGAAAGGAATGATGAAGCCAACGCTCACCTCTAGAGAAAAAGGCGGTGAATTTGGCAGTGTTAGACTGCTTGAAATTGAAGATGCAGTTTGATGTTTTTCTTATTTGTTTTGCCTGTTAGATGTGCTGTGGGGTGCCCAGGCTGCACAGTGTGTTGGGCATGTGCTGCAAACCATGGTCCCAGTGCTAGTGCTTGCTCATGAGCCCTAAGTGGAGGAGGAGAGCAGGCTGGGCAAGTGGCACTTGCTCTTGGCAGTAACAAGCCTGTTTGCTTGCATACCTGGCTTTTAAAACGGCTGCAGCCCCGAGGAACAGGGCTAAAACCTGTCTGCAAAATAGCTCATGGTGCAAGGGAGGATTTGTGCATGGCCCTGAGGGGTGACATCCTCTCCTCTCCAAGTAAAGCACCAGAGGGTAGCTCTAGCAAATTTCTCCTCTCCCAGCTTTCCCTTCAGAGTGCTGGGGTGTTTGGTTCTCACTTGGCCTGCGTGATGCAGCCGCCAGGGTAGGGCTGTGTTGTGTGAGGTGCTGTGCACATCCCTGCTCTGGGCAGGGTGTTGCAGGTGAAAGCCGGGCAAGCGGGTAACAGGACTACGGTGGATGTAATCTCCATTAGGTGTTTTCCAGGAATACCCACGAGTCCTCCTCTTGGACCAGACTCCTTCATTGTCCAAGATGCTGTTCAAACACATCCTGTTTTCCAGAGTTTACAATCTAACCCACAAGTCTTGAAATGTCCAACTCCAGGCAGCAATAATCTGCACCTTCTTGGCCAGAGATATGTGGGGGACCACCCCAGGGTGCTGCTGGAACGGAGGCGGTGGGGAGGGCTGTTCTGTGCATCAGGCTGCTGCCTGGCACCGCTAATCCAGGCACATCCCTCCCTGCCCGAGGCCAGCAGCTGTCGGAGCAAGCCGAGGAAATGGTTAACTGCATGAGTGACAGTTGCTAAAGTGAAACATTTTCTCCCATGCAGGGTGCAGCAAGGCCTCTCATCACTTCTCACACCCAGCATTAAGCAAGCATATGGCAGGGACAGAGATGCTGGCTGTCCTGGGAGGCTTGGATTAGGTACACACCTGAGTGTCTGTGGCCAGTAGCTATGTGGATCTCCTGTGCTGGGAAAGGATAAGCTGCAGAGAAGCTCCTACACAAGTCTTGGCTCTGATTGGGGAAGAAAATGCTGGTTTATAATTGTCTTCAAATGTGGTGTTGAAGAGAGCAGGCAGGATTGTGAGGATGAATGCTGCAGGACTTTGAGACGGCAAGATGGGTGTCTGCAGTGAGCCGCAGGCACGGGGGTCACCACCTTTCTGTGGCCACACATTGCATCTTGCCCCATCATGTGGAGTCTAGAGCCTGGCCTGGGTTTGAAACTTGTTGTTTTAAAGAACAGGGAGGAGAAAAACAAATAAAATTGGTTTTTAGGATAGTGATTCTGGAAAGCCCTGTTTTTTTCTGTGCGTTTTCCCAGTGCTGACTGAGAGGAGGGCTTGGTGAGCAGGTACGGATCTGGAAATCAGGCTGCTTGCTCCACATTTGGCATTGTTGCCTGTGTCCCAC